TATTCCATGGTGTACATATACCATAGTTTGTTGATCCACTCGTGGATCGATGGGCACTTGGGCTTCAATCCTAATTTTTTAACAATATTTTCCTTAGATTTTTAAACTAAAATTGGAAATCGTGAATAACAACCATGATTCTTAATTCACGTTTTAAAATGTGAATGGAATCTGGAAGATGGAAGAATGGAAGCAGCTCGAAAGCATACCACTCTGGATTCCATATGGAATCTGAGTAGATGGAGGAATGGAAGCAGCTTACAAGCATACCACTCTCAAAGAAAGGAGTATAAATTGCACGCAGATACCTATCTAGGTATAGCTTTTCTTAAATGGAGTATTGTGAAATCACAGAGAAGTAACAATCAGTGTGAAAAAGGAAGTGATAGGGTAATAAAATTTGACAAGATCAAAGGGATCTGTGGGGAGGCATCTATACACAGGGGAGAATAGGAGAACAGGTTGCTGGGGTGCTGTGCTCAGTACACAGGCACTGTGGCCATGTGAGAGGGTTCCCTCCACTGCTATAGGCCTCTACCAGGGACCTGTCTAGAGTCTGCAGAGTCACTGCATCAGAAAACAGGCCCAGTATTATCTAGTGGCAACTGATCCCAGGTTTCTGCAGCACATGCCATCCTGTGCTCTGAGGTGCATGACATGAGGACAACACAGGACTCAGTTTTTCAGCACTAGCTTTCACATTGCTTCCACCAGGCTAGGGAGGAATGGATTAAGTGGAGGCTCTTTTGAGACATACCTTGTTAGTGGAAGCCAAGCACTCCTTCAGCACAGTGGGGTCTGAGCAGAGGGGTTGCCTGGGGCTGTACAGGTGCTGATCTAGGTAACTGGGCAGCTGCTTCAGTGGGTCATGGTGGGAGCAGGGAGAACTCTATGGTCCCTGGGTTGCTAGAACTGAACCATACCCCCATGACTTGGTATCCATAGTCCCTTAGTTTGCAAACAGCCAGCTGCCTGCTCAGCCCTGACTTCGCGTCCCAGGTTGGAACAACCTGCCATCTGCTCATGCCTGACTCAGCTCTCCACTTAAAAACAGCACACCGCTTGCTAAGCCTGATTTCACACTCCAGGTCTGAATGAATCTTGGAAGACAGTAGGCAAGAAGCGGCTTGTAAGCACACCACTCTCAAGGAGCTGCCTCTGTACCCTGGTTGGAACATCCCACTGCTTGTGCAGCCCTGACTTTGCCTAATCAGCCTTCCACCTTCCTGGCCCTGCCTCCATTGCCCCAGGTTAGAACCACCCACAAAAGGCTCAGCCCTGCCTCTACTAGGTTAACTCAGCCTGCTGCCTGTACAGCCCAGCTTCTGGCTCAGATCCTGCTCAGGAGCCTTGCTTCTAGCTCCTCCCTAGTCCCAGTTTTGAGGTTCTCACATCAGACACCAAGGCTTTTTTCCTCTAGTTTTGTTAATGAACCCATGGGGCAAAGGGGTAAAGGGGTGTTCATTGTTGCATCAACTGGGAGGTGGATTTGAAGTGGCCCATTCCTCCCTCTCCCAGTTGATGTGTCTTCTGAAATAAATCCTTTCTCCCCTGACAATCCTCATTGTCTCAGTAACCGGCTTTCTGTGCATCGAGCAACAGTGAACACCTGCCCCCCTTGTGAATTAGCAATTTGGGGTCTCCTGGTCCAGGATTGGTTGCTTCTGGCTTGGCGACCTTGGAATGGAGGGAGTCTTTAAAGCCTCCCTAGCAGCTCCCTGACTGAGTTCCGTCAGAGGTTGGTTTTGTCTTCTCCCACTGGTTTTGCTGTCACCAGCTCCAAAAGCATCTTTGATTTTGAGGGAAGAACAGACCTTAATCTTGGGATTTTGGCATTTGGGCCTGCACAGGTGAGTGCTGTTTGAAAGCACTACAAGTGGAGAAACTTGTCTCTCCATTGAGGTTTCTCTGAGATTCCTTTTTGGGCTGCAGTCCTGGTAATCTGGAAGAACAGGGCCTTTGGCTCCTCTCTCCAGTTGGGGAGTCTCTTTGAGATTCCCATTTGGTCCTGAAGCCTTGGCCATCTGGGAGAATAGGACCTCTGAGCTCCTCTTTCTGGAGTTTCAGAAGAAATCCCATTTGAGTTGGAAGCCTTAGCCATTTGGGAGAGCAAGACCTATGACTATGACTGTTTGTGTTTGGCACTCTTTAGGCTTATTTGTTAGTACTGCAGTCCATCTGATTTGGAGAGAGTGTTTATTGTTTATGTGTAATTACGGGAAACAAGAGTTTGGTTCCTGAATGTAGCCCTTTGGGTTGCATCCTTCAGAACTGGTCTGAATATAGCTATAAATACAGCCTATTGGGAAAAAAAAACAATATATTTATGTAATACCATCTGTCCCAGGTACTCACTTGGATCTGAGGAAATATGGCCTGTTAATGGATCACTGAGCTGTAATGCTATACTCCAGTTGGATTTGTTTTGTCACCATATTGGAAAGTGGGATGAAATCCCTTAGGTACAGTCTTTTATGCTTTTGTATCAGAACAAGGCAGATCAGGTTAAATGTAAGGTTCTAGTGCAGAAGACAGAAGTCTTCAAGAAGATTGGGGGAAAGCAAGCAGAACCTAAAAACCTCTTCTTGCCATCAGGGAGAAATGTCCTTATGACTCTGAAGCCCTTTCTT